GGGCGCGCCCTGGGGCGCGTTTTTGGGGGGGGGGGGGGGTGGCCGCCGTTACTCCTGGCCCCACCCAGGCCTCACCAGCCGCTCTCGTGAGAGCTGCAGGCTCCTGGCGGGTCCCTGCGCTCCCCTGTGGGTTCCCCGGCTCAGGAAACCCCGCTGTACACCGCCATCCGCCGCTCCACTGCGGGACGCACCTGCACCGGAGCTGATGACCTCTGCGAGTTTCACAGTTACTGTATAAGTTACAGTGTGCATGAAAATGGACATATGCCTAGCCTGGCACGTGTGTAACTGAAAATACCTAACTTGACCCACAGATACTATAATGACATAACTGTGCAATCTATTTCCAAGACCAAATGAGCACGGTGAGATCAAAAATAGACTATTTAAATGAAAATTTACTTAGTGCTAATCTATGTATTTATAGGTATGCCATGAGAATAAATTTGATCAACTTCGTTGCATAATATGCAATCAGATTTTCCCCTTTTCTCTTTTAACCAAATTATGAGATATAAGAAATATCCTATTTTAGGTTATAAAGGCTTTAAAATGGAAAAAAAAAAAAAAAAAAGAGCCTACCTTAAGATATGCTGAAAGAAGTAAATCTTTATCGGGGGGATTAGAATTCCACTCTCTGATATTGCTTTATGAAAGAGACCCTTAGACAAAGGAGATAAAACCTGCCAAGAAGGGAAGAACAGAAAATATTTATTCTACGTTGAGGTCCATATCCCATAACTTATGCTTGACTAGACTGCTGGATTCAGTGGGGAATTACACATTTTTATGTGCTTACAGGGGTAGTGCCCAGACTTAGCACAATGTGCCATTAATCTTACTTTGAAAAATCAGATTAAGCATGAAATGTTACACTAATTGAGTTTTTGAAGGTTTTTTTTAAGACTTTACTTTTTAGTATATCTACTGCATGCCTACATGTGCAAAAACAGAGCAAGATCCTGCAGATACACCAAAGAGTGTGACAGATCCTGGATCTCCACCAAAGTGTTCAATATTTTCTTGGATCCACCAAAAAGCTGCTACTTGATCCAAAAATGCCCAGTTCCCACGAGCGTGTTCATCACCAGTACTGAAAGAAAAGCAGTATAAGCCAACTTCTCAGGAAGAGTAATAGTTCTTCTAATACCAGAATAAAATAAACCTCACCAACTTAAATTTTGTGCAAAGTATCATAGTTGGCCAAATATGACAATATATTGTATAGCCTACTGACCTAAAGCCCTTCATAGTCAGATCTAAGCCCCACTGACTTACTTGCCTCTATTGTTTGTTCATCCATACACAGATGGATTCCTGGCCTTTACACTATATGATTTCTTGCTTTACACACCAATGGATGGAAGTAAAGGCAAGAACAAACATCCTATTCAGAACCAATTAAGCTCAACTATGATTTGATAGCAGGCTACAATCAAATGACAATGCAAATGGAATTTACGGACATTTCTCAATGTTCTTAAGTCCTGATATCAGTGCACTATGTACATTTAAACCACTGTAACAGTGGGAAGCTGGTACAGAAGTTCAGCTCATGTACAAAACAAAACTACACATGCTTTAAACATGATAGGAAGTATTTTGTAAAAAGTGAAATAGGTCATCTTACTTGAGGAATCCAAGGAGTCCAAGTCTGTACTGAATTATTACTACCACAATATTCTTGTAGGCTGATAGTGCAGAACCATCATACCTAGAAGCACCGCCAAATATAAAATTGCCTCCATGGAGCCACACCATTACCTTAGAGAAAAAAGGGTGACACACACTTTTATACATTGCTTAGTAGATCTCATTTGAAAAAGGAAGACAACAACAGAGAACTAGGAACTCCAAATCACCGAAGCTCAATGGGAGCTGAATTTTAGGTTAGTGGACTTTGAATTTTACATAATAATATTATTTTTGCTAATGCAGCATCACATTTTCAAAAGCAATTAAGTGACTTAGGAGCTATCATTAGGTGCAAACTTTGTATGACACAAGTTTGTACAATGGATTTACGTACAGGTAACTTGTCTTTCTTGTTTGAACCAGCAGGGCTGTAAACATTTAGATACAAACAGTCCTCAGAAGTTCAGAATGGAAGGTGTTTTCCTTTAAAGTTTTTTTCAGCTATTTTCAACATGGACAGATCTTGAGGACATCTTCACAAAAGAAAGGAAGCGTGACTATTAGTAATAAAACTGCAATAGCAACAATGTAACAATGATAGAGAAAACACACTTTCTTTTGCTCCAAAAACAGAATCCCCACAGGGTGCTAGAACTTTGTGTTAATTATGTACAGTTAGAGGCACAACCTGTAAAAGCACAGCTCTATACTTGTACTTAAAAAGCTGAATTATTTCAGCACAGTATAATGAGAAAATGTGATTTCCAAAGACAGGAATTTCCCAGGAATTCTTTGTGTTTCCTAGTCCCGCAGTTCTTATGAAATATTTCAGTACTGGCAGCATATTCACTACCAGTCAATACAAGCTCCTTACCAAAAAAATCAGACCTCTATATCCTAATAAACACAACAACACTGACAAGTCCTGTACACAAATGATCTGAACGGCTCTCACAGTGGTGGGTAAGAAGTTGCATCTCTCAGATCATTCCAGGGTTCAGGAGGGGAAAACTTAAGGATCCAACAGGTGCTTTTGCAAAAGGAATCCCAAAGAAAATGTTTACAAGTCTGTCTGTCCCCTTCACATTGGTTTGTCTCCCTTTGAGCTGTCCAAGTGCCACAGTCACTTCTGGCTCAGCACCAGTCTGCCCGAAGTAACACACAAGGAAAAAAATGAAATTTAAATTGCATCTTCATAATTATCAGACTTTTCAATGAAGCATTTTTTACTGACTGTTTAATTTAGAAGATTTCAGCTTGTTCCTTTCCATTTTGTTTTCATTTCCCTTTTGTGCAATGACAGACACCCCCTGCCAAACACTCCCATAGCTGGCTCTGCCAATGACAACTGGAGCTAGGTAAGACATAGTTTACTCACTGTGCAAGAGCATAAAGCTCAAAAACAAATTTCAGAGCAAACAGCAATTGTCAAAATCATTAACATTTTCTAAATTTAGTATCCAACAAGATCTTAAAAATATTGTTTAGATAATTTGGAAATGTTTTTGCTTTCTACATTTTAAGAAAGAAAATTTTATTCTCATAAAATCATTTCAGAAATGGTTTCATCTCACAAAACCAGTAATTTTTGCATGAAGTTTATTAGGATACTTTTGCAGATTGCTAACAAAAGTATAAGAGAGGTACTGCCGTTGAAAATCACTATACTGCAACTTGTTCGTGCGGCTGCTTCCCCAACAGCAATAACAGATTTTGCATCTCACCTTCTGCTCCACAAGTGATGAACGCTATACTACAAAACAAGGTACAAAGCAAAGCAATCTGGTTTTGAGGAGCCATTTTTCACCCCCGTTTGGACTCTAGATTATTTTCTGGTTTTATGTGGAAGAGAATGGTACAAAGGTCCCTGCTGAGGGCACTCTGAGTAGGGAGTGCAGCTAAATTCCCTTTTGAACATGCACTGCATTAAGCACTTTCAGAGCTGTACTTGATACAGAGTGTAAATACAATCCCTTAGTGTAAAGCAACTAATCATTACCTGATCCTGAGAATGGATGATCTGAAAATGACCCAACACCACCTGTGAACAACAACAAAAGGTCTAATCATAGTTAATCTGCTGTTAATCCTACAAGCAGAGAAAACAGTGACGGTCTGAAGAGGTTCCAGAGCTGTCAACACTTAAATTCTTGTAAAAAACCCCAAAACAACAACAACAAAAACCTCACCAAAAAACAGGATTGCAGATTAAAAATAACTAGGAAGTAACAACTAAAAGAAGAAAAAAAAAAAAATCAAAATAGTTAGCTATAAGTTAATAAAACTTCTTGCAGAAGTTTTAATGAGGGCTAGCACATCTGTACCATAATTGACACTTATGTGCTTTCCAGCAGGGACTGGCCCCCAGCCTCCAAATTAGTTCTTTATCCCTTCTTGAATAAAAATAGGCCTCCTGCATTTTTCAAAATTAAAGGGAAGATTAAAGTTGAGGGTCAGATTATAGCTTCTTCTCTATGAGCGGCCTCAGTGGAGGTCAGAAAGCAAGGTCTATTTACCAACACCTTATAGGGTATATACTTCCGTCAAAAAAGTGGGAGAGGGCCATGACCTCACCTTCTCTATAAAATAGCTTCCTACAGTGGAAATAGGCTGGCAATCCAACAGTTTTCACCTGCTGGCCGAAAAAGTCCTAAAAAATTTTGTAGTTTGTAGAAGCATAACATCCCTCAGTGTGGATGACTGGCCCTGAACAGATTAGCCTCAAGGCCTTCTTCATACTTGGGCCTACGAGCCCAGCCTGCTCCACTAACTCCCAATCTTCAACTGGCAAAACACCCTCTACAAAATGGGTCTTTGCCTTTCCACCTTCGATTCATTTCACATCTCCTGGATGAATGGTGCCATCAGCATCCAGTTGCAAAGCATACTGCTTCAGGCTCCTCTGCACTGTGTTCACTTACTTCACCTCCAGCATGGACACTCATAAAGCCTGTGAAGCCAACTTCTCCATCACAGACCATACATCACGTAAGTTCATTCTGCTTGGGAAACAGGTTTGTCAGAGTAAGTCAGTTCTTCTCTAACAAAAAGGATCGCAAATAAGATAGGTAAAACAAGATTTTCAGTGCAAGAGAATTCAGAGCTACTTGCTATTTCTTATACAGTTCCTCTGTCTCTGGGTTGCGATAGCTTTGGAAAGTGTGCCAATTTCTCATGAATTTCACCTGGAACTGTGCAAATATGCATTGCAGAACATAACTTCCCTCTTATTTTTTATACTTCCCTCAAATCTTTCTGGAAAATCCTTTCTGTTGCAGTTATTTTTGTTCCAGTCCAATGTGAATAGCCCTGGGATTTTTGTCCATTCTTCTTGTGGACTAGGAAGACAGACCAAAACCAGCAGACAGATTTCAACATATGGGAATAAGTGTGTGCACCTGTTTGTGTACGTATCCATCCATCCATGCACATATACATGAGGTAGGGAGCAAGGAGTTGGAAAAAGCAGGATTCCACGAGGCTACTTAAGTTGAACACTTTCCATCAGTGAATTCCAACGAATAGGACTTCTCGTGCTGCCAAACTGTACTCCCTTTATCCAATTAAAAAAACCCCAACAAACCAAAACAAAGCAAACAAAAGCCACTTTTAAAATCAGTCAACATCTTTGCCACTAAGGGTAAGTCAGCTCAGTCAGCTTTGTCTTTCCTAAACAGCCAGAAAAATGATGCTTACCAACAAAATTTATTATCCAAAACAACATACACTAATTGAAAGACCAACTTAAGATAACAAAGGATTTTATATTAAAGTTCACTTCTTAATCTATGTAATCTATATATTAACTGAATATAATACAAAACAAAGATGAAAGCAGAGATAAATGGAACTTTGCTCGCAGGTAGTTTGTTTGTCTTATTTAAAATATCAGCAGATGTGTAAACATATCAGTAATCTTCAGAACAGGTCCCGCTGGGGGCAAACCCAATCTGGCCCAACTCCCTGCAGTCAAAAGCACACCTGAGCCCACCTGAGGTAACCACCGTTTCTGTAAGGCAGTGCCGAGCAACAGAACCACAATATACGTCTTTTCTTCCATCTGCAACGTCTTTTGAAGCAGCAAGTCTCAGCTCCTTTCAAATCCTCTTTTCTTTCTGTCAGCCGCCGGGGAAACTGCCGCCCTCCACCTGGGGAGCATGTTCACATCTTACCCATGACCATGACTTGACGTGGCAGGCATGAGAAAAAACAAACCCTAAACAGATCATTTTTTGCAAAGAGAAATCAAACATGCAGCAAGGAAGCTAAAACAGATAACATACAGTATGTTTATACAGGAGTATGTGCTTTAACCCCATTATAAAGGGGTGTACGAAGCCAAAATATGTCATCATTACGCTCTATCACTCCAGTTTCTTGACGTTCACAGGTTTTCTTAGATACAGTTTGACTTTTCAAATTAAAAGATGAAAGAAATAATTTTAATCAAAAAATGTTGTATTTAACATGCAATTTAATTTACCCATCCTTGACAGCGCTAAGTTCACTTCAGAGGTCCCTCACAGACACTTCGCAACGTCGCTGACTCCAGTGAAGCCATTCGTTTTTCACTCCTAGACTTTAGTTTAAAGCTGTGCAAGACTCGAGTCGCTGAACGCTTCCTCCCAACCCGCCGGCGCCCCCCCAGCGCTGCTATCCCTACCTCCTCATAACTGCCCTAAAAGCAACCCTGAAGGTCACCCAAGCTCCCC